TGGCCCCCCCCCCCCCTCCTGCGTCTGCGTTTTTGGCAGAGCCTCCCCCCCCCCAAAGTGTGTTGGTTCCCCCTCCCCACCAAAACGGGGGTGCAAATGGCCTGGACCCCCCTCCCCGATCATCGATGTCCCCAATGAAGGGATGGAGACACGTCACATCGTGGCTCAATGTCCCCAGTGTCCCCACCCAAGGGGTTGAGACACATTGTGGCTCCACATCCCTGATGTCCCCAATCAAGGGACTGAGACATGTCATGGCCCAACGTCCCCAATGTCCCCAGTGTCCCCAACCAAGGGACTGAGACGCAGCGTACCTCAATGTCCCCAATGTCCCCTACATCCCTGATGTCCTCATCTAAGGGACAAAGCCACATTGTGCCTCAATGTCCCCAGTGTCCCCAACACCCCCGCTATCCCGACCCAAGGGACTGAGACATGTCATGGCTCAGTGTCCCCATTGTCCCCAATTGAAGGGACTGAGACACATTGTGGCTCAGTGTCCCCAACATCCCCAATGCCATGATGTCCCTGACACCCCCAATGTCCCCAACTTCCCCGACCTGACGGACTGAGACATGTCACGACTCGATGTCATCGGGACCGAGGGACGGAGATACGTCGCAGCTGGACGTCCCCGATGGATGTGGGCACCTCATCATTGCCCCGACCCCGGGACCGAGACACATCATGGCTCGATGTCCCCGATGTCCCCAACCCAATGGACCGAGACACGTAACGGCTCAACGTCCCCAATGTCCCAACCCAACTGAGACACGCTGCAGCTAGACGTCCCCAACCCAATGGACTGAGACACATCGCTACTCGACGTCCCCAGTGTCCCCAACCCAATGGACTGAGACGTCGTGGCTTGATGCCCCCAATATCCCCAACCCAACGGACTGAGACACGCCGCAGCTGGATGTCCCCAACCCAATGGATTGAGACATATCACGGCTCGACGTCCCCACTGTCCCTAACCCAGGCGACTGAGACCCGCCGTGGCTGGATGTCCTCAATGTCCCCAGCCCAAGGGATTGAGACATATCAGCCTTGATGAGGCTGAAGGACGTAGCACCTTGTCATTGCCCCAGCCCATCGCGCCCTGATGTCCCCAACATCCCCAACTCAAGGGACTGAGCCCCATCACGGCCCAACGTCCCTGATGTCCCCAAGTCATGAGACTGAGACCCATCATGGCCGGATGTCCTCAATGTCCCCAGTGTCCCCAACTCAAGGGGCTGAGCCCCTTGGCCCATCAGGGCCCAATGTCCCCCATGTCCCGAACATCCCCGACGTCCCCGACTCAAGGGACTGAGCCCCATGGCGCCCCAATGTCCCCAACGTCCCCAACTCAAGGGACTGAGCCCTATCATGGCCAAACGTCCCTGATGTCCCCAGTGCAGGGGACCGAGCCCTGTCACTCCTGACGCCCCCGAGCC